ATATTGAAGTCTCAGCAAATAAATGTGATTAGAAATGCCCTCTGGTATGAGAGTATATTTTTAGATTGAAAAAATAGAAAGAATTTTCTAATTTACAAAATACTTTTTGTAGGGTTTTATTTTTGTTTGTTTGATTAGTAGATTATAATTTGTGACAGTCTATTAGATTTTAGAAACAAGTGTATTGATTTACACTGAAAGGAAATTTGATTTTATAAAAGATATACCAAATTCCTAGTGAAGGAAAAAGATGTCATAGAGGCTGCTTTTTAAAAAAATAAAAGTGTTGCATTTCTGTCATCTACAAGAGAGAGAATAGTGGGTTTTGAATAAGGTATTTTTAATTATTCATTTTTGTAGAAATATGAATTTAAATTAAAGAAATTTCCAAAATTTCCAGTGGGTTTATTTTGGTTTTTTTTCCAATTGGTTTATATAGAACTATGATTATTTATAAAACATTGTTTTATTGTTGTAATATGAAAATTCTTATTGATCTTATAATCTTTGTTAATTAAACTTTCAAATATGGAAACAGCTCTGTTTTAAAAAGTAAGTCACCACTGCACATTATTAATCAGAAGTTAGGACACTTTTTATGGAGCCTTTAAAAAAAAAAAAACTAGGGTGATATGTGTTTTGGTGACTAACTGCTTTACTTTTTCTAGAATTTAAATTGTCAATATTACAGACTTGTTCTTTTCAGCTCTTTGATACTTGGAATCTTATGTAAGAGTCTGATCTTGACTGATATAAACCATTTTTCTTCCATTGGTCATTCCTCTCAGTTCTGCTTTCTAAAAAAATACCCGAGATCTGACAATTTATCCCTGCTCCACCCTGCATCCCTTGGCATGCCTCATCAGAGTTCAGCAGTTGTAGTTGCTCTCGATAGCTCTCACTAGAGCTCTCCTTACCTACTTACTCTATACAGTGCCGTCCTTTCTACACATGGCAATTGGAGAGTTCTATCTAAAACATGTACTCCTCTGCCCAACACCGTCCCGGAGTAAAAGCCAGAGTCCTCCGGTGGCCCAGCAAGATGTGCGTGACTGGCTAGTGTCTGTGTCTCTAATCTCATCTCTTCACACTTCTCTTTCTCACTCTGCCCTAACCATAGTCTTTCCTCTTCTGTTCCTCAAATGTTAAAAGCTCACTTTTACCTCAGGATATTTGCTTTTACAATCTTCATCTCTGGAATACACTGCTTCCAGAAACTTGAATGAGTTGCCTCCCACACTTTGTCCAAGACTGATAAAATATGTCTTATCAGACACTGTCCCAACCACTCTTGTCTAAAATCCTCTTCCCACCCCAATTGTAAAGCAGGCTGTCTATGTGTCTTATAGATTTTTTTTCCCTCTAGCTTTAACTATTTTCTTACCCAGGTCTAATTTGACAACAGATATTTTTAGCAGTTTTATTGAATTCAAAACACTCAAATTAATTTCACAAAAACGAAAGCTCTTTCTTGAATTAATATGATATATAATATTATATACTGGCATATATAATATGTAGTTGAATTTCACAATTATAACAATAGATACATAATTATAACAAAAAGTAGAGTTGACAGAAATACTTTGGGAATAAACATACCTGATGTGTGGTAAAGCTAAAATTTAACTGATAGAAGCAGAAGTGTGGGCTTCTTTCTAGACTACAGTTTACAYAAAACTAGAGCTTGATTGGTAATACAGAACAAAAACTGAAATTTGGCTAGATTATATAAAAGAGCTCCTTCCAGATTCTTCTAACTTTCTTAGATTAGTTCATCTTGATATGATTATCTATGATAGAAACTTTCACGTAAAATTCGAAGAGTGGTAATAAATGACTGCTAGAGAATTATTACTTTTATTAAAATAAAATATTTGTAAAAAATATATTAAATAGAAAGGTTTTGCAAATGGATATTGATCATGTTTTCACAAAATCATAAATAATACATAATCCCACTGAGTGATACTCTTAAACATGATTAAATTGGCAAATTTTATACTATGTGTATTTTACCACAATTAAAGAACCTTTGGATAATGTTACTATGTCTATATGAGAAAAAGTAGAAGTTATGGAATTAGAAGACATTTATATAATACTGCTTCTGCCATGAATGAGTTGAGTTAATTTTGGTAAACCTTTTAAGCTACCTTAGCTGTAGAGTCTTTATATTTAATATGCATGCATCTATAATGTCACAACAGTCTGTAAGCTTCAGGCACAATTTTACATAATTTCAGAAGAGTAGCTCATGGAATTGACTTTGTTAATATTGGATATAAGAATTTGGCTTCAGGTATTTGCTATTGAAGATTTTTAAATGTTGAATGTTAATTTTTTTCTTTGTTTTGAGTTGTTTATTTCGAGAATCGAAAAGTTCATCTTGTATTTATAGAATTATACTTTTTATTGGCATTATTAAATGTTTGATTTTTTTTTAATTATTCATGTGTAAACTGGTTCTCTTCATAACTTTTGAGGGAAGAGACCCCTAGACTGAGATAGGTAGTCTTTCTGTTTTTTTATTTGAAGTCAGCAAATTAACTAGCAATAATCAAATGAGATGAATGGTAACAGAAAATGGTATATTAAGGTACAATGATGAAATCATAACTAGATGTAAATAATAGAAAATTATTTTAGTTTGGATACTGATATAATATGCATTTCTTTCAACTTAACTGGAATAAAAGATGTTTTCCTCTGAAAAAAATAATCGTGAGTTGAAAAAACAATTTTCAGAAATGTTTTTTAAAAACAGAAGTAGGAAGTAAGAACATGATCAATAGAAAAATCACCTTAGAATTCAATACAATTGACAGGAAAAAAAATCAGAATTTGAAGGGGGAACAACAGTAGATTAGGTGAAATATTTATTGAATGTTCTATTTGGGGCTTGACAAAGAATTATGTGATTCAGTATACAATACATAATACTGAGGAAGTGATCTTAATCTTTAAAAAATAATATCTTGCACATCTATAACCAAACAACTCGGGAGGCTGAGGCAAGAGGATCACAAGTTTGAGACCAGCCTTGGTAATTTAGCAAGACCTTGTCTTAAAATAAAAAATAAAAAGGGCTGGGGATGTGGCTCAGTGGTAAAGTACCCTGGGTTCAATCCCCAGTACAAAAAAAAAAAAAAGACGATCTCCATCACTTACTGATTAATCAAGATGTGTTGACTGATTAATAAAGCATATGTGGCCTGTGTTAAATTTCAAATGATTTCTTTCCCACACCTTGGATAACTATAGCATTACTGCCTTTTGTTCAAAAATTGTTTTAGATAGATTTGTGGCCATTGATATCATTTTAAATTTTAGTTTGAATACTTTTAGGCATATCAAACTTGTATAACAGGCAGGAGGCCAGTGTAAAAAAGCAAAAGATTAATTCTTTCTGTTTAACCAGTGGCTGCAAAATGCTTGCCTTTTCCTTGTCAAGCCTACAGTGTGGAAATTCCTGAAAGAATTGAATGGCCACGTCTGAAACCAAGTGTCTTTGCATTATCCCAATGTATGATATGATCTTCTTTTTTTTTTAATATTTATTTTTTAGTTCTTGGAGGACACAACATCTTTGTTGGTATGTGGTGCTGAGGATCGAACCCGGGCCGCACGCATGCCAGGCTAGCGCGCTACCACTTGAGCCACATCCCCAGCCCTGATATGATCTTCTTGATTTTAGTTTTAACTTTCTAATTTTTCAAGTGCTACCAAATTTATTTGTTAATTGCTATAATATATTCTGCATAAAAGTACTATGCTAAGTGTCCATTATACCATGTCTGAGGCAAAGTGTTTATTTGTTATACTTTTTGAATTATTATTTACTGGAAAGTATACCTTCCCTAGGGATTTCTTTGGAGGTGGAATTTTTTAGTATTAACACAGTAATTTTATCTCCAGCTATATTCCAGTGAATGTCATCAAAACACGTTGAGGTTAAGCTGTTTGTGTGATAATAGAACTTCAAAGTGACTACTGAAAATCATTACAAAATTCAAATTTAAAATTCTATGTATCATTCAGATACCACTCTCTTTAAAATTGCAGGGTTACTTTATTTTTCTCTGAGATTATTCACCATTGGACATATTGTGTATTTGTTTATTTGTTGTCTTTCTCTTCCTATTATATAAGTCATGACAGCAGGGGCATGTTTTTGTTTATTAATCTGTCTTACTGCTTCAAACAGGTTTGACACATTATGAAATATTTGGGTAAAAATGTGTGAAACCCTCGTCATCCAYCTTCAGTGTGTTCTCTTGTGGGTGCTGCCCTCCTCATTGTGTGTTCAGTATTCTTTTAGTCTAACATTTCTTAAACACTGACCCTGATGTTGTAATTTCCCTAGTTTAAATCCTGCATTGTCTATAAAATGAAATCTTTCCCTTAACTTATGTTCTTCAGTGGCCTGGCCCTTCCTGGGTATATCCTTCCTCTCTGTTCCTCCTAACATCCACATCCTAATCTCACGGAGCCAGCTGTGCTTGAATTTTCTGAAATATGTTCCCTCACTTTGATGGGTTCTGTTCTTTCCACTTTCCCCCTTTTGTCTGATTTTTGCTGTGCCTCCCACTTCCATGATGCTCTTTCACTCCCTCCTTTAGGAGGTCACCATTCCTATGTATATCTCCATCAAAACCTCATTTCCCTTTATTGCTGCTGTTATCTGTTTCTTGTAACTAGACCTCTGAGCATCTTGACAAAACGATTATTGTATTCATCTTCTTATTCCCTGTGCCTACCACATCATGTAAAGATACTCAGTAAATGTAGATCAAAGGACTACTATTTTGCATGTGAAAATAGATGTCTAGAGGGGATATGATATGTGTCAACCATTACACCTCCAGTTAGCATAATTAATTATGATACTAGTTGGACTCGGACCCTTGTGTCCTGGCCCCCTCAGTCCAGTGCTCTGCTACTAAATGAAATGAATTTTGTATTTTTAACAAAATGTCTTTGTGTTTTTTCCCTTACAGATATTGATGATGTTAGGAAGTTCAAACCAGGTTATCTGGAAGCTACTATTAATTGGTTGACATATTATAAGGTGCCAGAGGGAAAACCAGAAAATAAGTTTGCTTTTAATGGAGAATTCAAAAACAAGGTGAAAATGAAAATCTGAATTTTAATATGTGCCTCCTGGTGCTTGTACAGTACTTATTTCACTTGGACTATTTCTTATGTGAATCTTTATACATTGCTCGATCACAAGTGCTTTTTAATGACTCATATCTTTAAGGACATTATCTTATCATTTAAAAAATGTTTTTCAGGAGATTCTAGTGAATCAACAATGCTGAAAAATATCTGTTTCCATCATCTATGTATATAGCTCATTTATCTTCTCAGAACATAAAGGAATTCCACAATCAGTTACTATCTTTGCAAATTGTATATGAAGAAAAACCCTCCATTTACTATTTTGAGAAGGAGAAAATTACTTACCCTTAATGTAAATGCATAGGGTCTTCCCTCTTAAGGGTTCATTCTACGGTGACTATATTAAACTGCTTAACAACTGCATTTGAGTTGTCCTATTATCATAAGACTTTTCTATTAGAGTAACACAGAGTTACCATAAAGTATCTCTAATTTGACACAAATGCAGAGAACAGGCCAAGGAGTTAAAGTGTAGGATATTTTTTTAAAGTTATTACACCTAAGTAAATTGCATATTCTAAACCAACCTCTAAGTGAAACATACTTTAATGAGTAAAGCTTGTCTTGCAAGTAAAATAAGGTATGTTAATGAAAACCTAAAATTTACTGTAAGTATTTTGTTATACCAGAATTGATTGCTGAGCCCAGTACCCTTAATATATTGAGGGCTTTATTTAAGATTAGTAAATATAAACATAAAACTATTACTTTAGCCTAGATTCTCTTAAAAGTTAAATATTAAAACATTATTCCTATCTTTTTCCTCAGAATATATGTTGCATTTTATGTTTGAAATAAAATAGATTTCAATTCTTTGTGGTACTTTCATGACCTTTTATTGCCTTCAGGTATATCTACCAAGTCTTGAATTTGTAATGAGTGAGATGTCTTTTGTGTTTTGTTTGCTTCGGACAAACATTAGTTTTTCCTAAATGAAGATTAGGTCATTTTTAATTTTTTCCAGAAAATAAGCATTATACGCATTGCTTTTTACCACTGCTATTTAAGATATGGAGGCAAACTTAATTGTTTCTCTTTGACATGGTTGTAAAAGATGGCTTCCCTTTTTTTAATTCTAGGGTTTTCCTGACTACTCCTTTGAGCAAGTACTGGAATTGGTTCTAAATTGTCACAATTATCTGAATAATTAGGCTAAAAATCTTTTCTTGCATTATCCAAATGATAAATTGCATATCTTGTCCATGTCTTAAGCAGGATTCCCCAGCACCACTTCCTTAAGAATTAAGCCATTCTCCTTCATCTTGGCCAATAGTAGACCTGAGAGGTTAAATTTCCCATTATCATTATATCTCAGAACCCAAGAATCTTTATTCTTTCTTATCATAATATGTTTAGTTGTCACTGAAGGAGAAAAAAGCTGATAACGAATTAGTTAATAATTAAGGACTATCCTTAAAGAAACAACATTTTGAGCAAAAACATTGGAAGAATTTTCTGCCTTGGAATAAGCAGATTTTCCTTAGATAAACATATCACATGTATATCTAACAAGTGTATCTCTCTCTTCTTTTAAAAATATTAACTTGTTTTTGTTGTAGTTGGACACAGTACGTTTATTTATTTATTTTTATGTGTTGCTGAGAATCGAACCCAGGGCTCCGCCCATGTTAGGTGAGCGCTCTACCACTGAGCCACAACCCCAGCCCCGAGAAGTGTATCTCTTATTGATCATGCACTTTCAAACATATTATGACTTATCACTAGAAAAATTGGGGAAAATGTTAAGGAGGTTTACAACTTTCAGACAGTGCATAGTCGAAAATTACTTTTCAATTAGACTTTGCAGTTATTGTAATGATAAAATAAGTGGGTGCATGCTTACTTACAAATTAGGTTCTAAGGTAAGCCCTTACATACAACATCTTATTTATTCTTTTAGCAACTCTTAGCTTTAGATAAGGGATTGGCAGGCTCTATCTGGTGAGGTCAGATAGTAAATATGTTTGGCTCTACAGACTTTATGGTTTCATCACAACTGCTCAGCTCTGCCATTGTAGCACTAAAGCAGCCATAGGCCAAGAAGAGGTGACAGGCATATTTGACCCCAGACCCCTGACAGTTTATTCCCATTGTGTCCCATTTTAGAGATGAGGAAGTTGAGGTTTCATGAGATTAAATACCCGCCCAAAGTCATACAGCTACTAACTAAAGAAGCTGGAATTTATACTCAAGATTGCCTGCTCTTAACAACTGTCGTGATATTAATTCTGTGTTAGAGTAACATTGTGGTCACTGTGTCTTATTTTGTTGAAACTAGGCTTTTGCCCTTGAAGTTATTAAATCTACTCATGAATGTTGGAAAGCAATGCTTATGAAGAAATGTGATAGAGGGGCTATAAATTGGTAAGAATTTGTCTTTTCTATGTATGTAATGTTATTTTATCTTTAATTGGTACTAAATAGCCATCTAATACTGCTCAGATATCAGATTTTTTTTAAAAGGTGTTCCAATTATTTTTTTGTTTATAAAATACTGAGGAAGCACCTACTCAGTGTGCAGTACTGAGAATTGGGCACTGTGAAGCTATGAATTGACATTTACCTTAGGGATTTGTATTTTAGTAGGAGACAATGACAAGTAAATAAGCATTAAATTGCAGTACATTGTGATATGTGCAAAGATGAAGTAAAAACAGTATCTTCACATGAAAACACATGATTACTATATGTAATAAATACCACTACCTCATCATATCTTGATAAGAATAGTAAAAACTTTCTCATCCAACATGATCTGGGTCATTAGCTGATTTATTAAGAGGAATCAAATAGTAGTAACATACAGTACTCCAACATTTTATTTTAACTTAAGACATTTAAGTATGTTTATTCACCAATCTTTGGATGTAGGGCTATGACCTTTTCTTTCTATATAGATCTCATGTAGATTTTCTCCACATATTTTAACATAATGTATAATAGAAAAATAAAGATCCTCTAATCCTTAAGCTCCTTACAACTTAAAAATCCTTGCACATTTTTAGTGTTTTCTTTTCCAGATTTTTACAGTTGTGTTACCCACACCTAATTTCACATCTAGCAATTTGCCTTTATTGATGCTTTTTAGAACCTCAGTGTTGTATGTAGCCTGAATAGTCAGGGTATCATGTAAAGAAAAGAGGTTTACTTAGTTTGCAGTTTTTGAGGTTTGAGAACATGGCACCAGCATCTGTTTGGCTCTGATGATGGCCTTGTGGCAGATGGCATCATGTGTGGGAAGAGAAGCAAGAGGCTTGGCCTAAGCTCTATATTTTATAGCAACCCACTCTGGTGGGAAGTGACCCACTCCTGTGAGACCAGCCTTAATCCCTTCAAGGGGACAGTCAGGACCCAGTCACCTCCCACCAAACCCCACCCTTTAAAGGCTCCACCACCACAACACCCTGGAGACAAGCTGTTCCAGCGCATGGTCCTTGGGGACAGTCATATCCAAACTAGCTATATTCTGTTACCTCTTTTACAGTTTTTTACAATAAAACAGTCATTTTTTAGCTTAAGAATTTTTAGCATATAAATCATAAGCATGTAGATAAAGTCTTCAGAATCTTAATTCATTTTTACTCATTTTTTCTTAATCTTAATTACTTAATTCCTAAAATATATTCAGAATTGTTTCTTTTGCCTCTGTTTAATGAATTGCTTCTCTTTTAATTTCATATAATATTCTATTGTTGACTAAGAAGCCCTCCTTTTTCTTCTTTTTTTAGTGTTTTTCCCAATCAGTTCAGTTTAGGTCCACACTATTTCTCACAGCCATTCTCTCCATCAGTATTACATACAATGCCTCAGAAATATCTCAGCAAATTGTTAAAAATTTATTTGCAGGGTCCCTTCTCTAAACTTGATATACTAGGACGTCTAAGGGGTGGCCTATAAGCAGGTATATATTTTAAAAGTTCCCACATGATTCTAGTGAGGCTCTCTGCTTAAGAAGCATGAAATCTAAACTTCTAAAAAGCCAACCAAGGCTCCCATAATTTGACTGAGTTGTCTGTCCTCATTTTCCTCCACTTCTTGCCTCCTATTTCATTTGTCAGAAACTTAAAATAGCTTTGCCACTCCTATGCATACCACACCCTTCCTGATCTCTAGACCTTCACTCATTTGGGGCTGTTTCATATGTTTTTGTTTTTTAACCATGATTGTCTTTTAATTTCTTGAACTACCTTACTCATTTTTTAATGTCCTTCTAGTTATAAAACTGCTTTAATTCAGTGACATAATTTGTATATTCATATTTTTATTAACAACCACTCTCCTATTTAATGTATTTTATATATCACTTCCAGAATTACCTTTCAAGAGTACACACATACCTGTCATTTTGATACTAAAAAAAATAACTTTTTGTGACTCCCTTCAATTGTAGGATTTGATCCACTTCTTTTTTTAAATAATGTATCCACGTCTGCTTCTCCAGGCTCATGGTCTGTCCCCTCTTACCCCTCTGACTTTCCTCCATGAATATCTATCTACTTCCTCTTCAAGAAGCAGTTCAGATGCCACCTCATTTCTTCTCACGATATTGCTCCACAGGCCTCTGTATAACAGGGAGTGTTGTGTTATTTGTTTATATTATTTATTAGCACATAGTAACAGGACTTACTGAAGGTAGTTTAAATATACTTATTGAGTAAAGGAATATATATTCAGATTTTCCAAATTATTTAGGTCTTGAATTTGTTTCTTTTTGCTTTGCTAGAAGGTATATTTAATTTATGGAATTACTTTTTATATACCCAAAGCTCCAGTTCATTTAGCTTTGTATACATTTACCCCAACCTCACTTTTTCTACAAACTCTAGAGGTTGTGATCCAAAATCATTATCTTTCTTACACTTTGATTTTTTTTCCCTTTTCTCCAGTTAGCATAATTAATTATGCCTTAGAATGAAAAGCCTTGACAAATCTATATCTTGCACATTGTCTTTGAGGATTCTCATGAGTATTATGAGCCTTTTTGATTTGAGATTGGTGGCCCTATAAATTTTATCTTTTATATATCTGTTTGTTCTTTTCAAGTAATTGTCTATTTCATTATATTATTTCAAAAATGCAATTTGGGTTTGTTGTACACAACATTTTTTTATATTACCGATTCTTTGTTCTAATGTCATGTCTGCTTATTTTTGGTTAGCACAGTGGTTCATGTGTCATTACATTTATAAATGTATTTATTTTTATGGTGTTGCATCCAATTATAATATTATCACTTAGAGGAAGATTTTTTCCTTATAGTCCCTTCTGTGGGTCAAATTTTATTATTCTTTTAAGCTGAAATGGAGTTTCATTATAACTTTGTATACATTCCAGAAAATTATTAAGATTTGTATATCATTTTTGGAAGTAATTTTTAAGTTCTGAAAAGTGCTATGGAGTATTCTATATTTGTAACTGCCTTAAAAATGTACAATAATTTTAGTTGTCCTATTTTATATTCATTGAGTTCCTTGTTTATTGACTGAAGTTATACAGTCAGTGTGAAATATTTGAAGTTCATTTTCTTTTTGGGTAATTTTGCCTTTTTTATCGTGTTTAATAATAATGTCCTGTTTTCTTCTTCAGCACAAACGTGCAGGTATGTGGTAGCCCTTTCCATTGCACTCCAGAGAAAGCAAGATCATTAGTTGAATCGGTAAGGAGCAAATGTCCAAGGCATCCTTTAATCATGTAGTTTTGTGGGAAATCTTGCAGAAATTCTGATGTCTAGCACTGAAATATGTTGAATCATTTTGGGAAGCATAAACTTAAAAAATTTTTTTGGAATTTTTTTTTAATGAAGAGAATTTAAACAAAAATTTTAAAACCTTTTAGTTGAGTTTTTCAATTCTGTTTTCAAAAGTACATTAACATTTAGCTAGTTTTATTTGATGCTATTTTTCTTAGCATCATCAGTTTGTTAGTATTTATATATATTTATTGTCCTCTATGCTATTCTGTTTCTATAAGTTGTCTGTCATCCAGTGGAACTGGCTCTTGGTACAAATGCATATCAGCTTAAACAAAATGAAATACATAGACTTTCTTTTCTTATTTCTATTTGGTTTGGCTGTCTCACAAACTTGCTTTCTCTAAGCTAAAAAGAGTTCCCTAGATTCTTACATGTCTTATTGATAATTCTGCATAGAAGCAATTGAATTTATTAGTAAATTAATGCTTCATTTGGAGAACACTAAATAAGAAAATTAATATTCAGATAATTAAGTAATATCACTATATAATATATATTCAGGAGGGCTCTTAGGCTTAAAATCCCATTTATAAATTAAGGGTTTTAAAAAACTAATTATAAGCTAGTTTGAAACTAGTGAATTGTTCTTTACTTTAGGAGTAACTAAAATGTTCCTAAACATTAGTTGCTCATTRTGGCTGCTTTTAATTTTTTGCTACTGTTTGTTTTGTTTTGTTTTTTCCATTAATTCACCAGCTATTTAATTAGTGTCTGCTGTATTGTAAAATCTCAGTGCTGGCAATTCAGTATTAAAAATACAAAAGCCTCTGCCCTTGTAAAGCTCAAGTTTTATTTGGGGAGATGGAAGACAAATAAATATGCAAGTAAAATATACAGTGTTTCAGTAGCAGTAAATACCATGAAAACAGAGCAGAGAGGGTAAAGTTCCAGGAGTGTGGCGGAGTTGTAGTTATAGAGGTGGTCAGAGACAGCCACATTGAGAAGACTGACGTGTGAGTCCAGGTTTGTAGAAGGCCAGAGAGTGAACATCTGGGGAAGAGTGTTTCCGGTCCAGGGTCCATGAGGAAAGAGGATGCCTGACACCCTGAAAAAATATGCAAGGAGCTACAATGGCTAATGGAGCAGAGTGTGGAGAACAGAGGACATGAGATTGCAAAATTAGGAAAAGCCCCTGTGCATACTGTTTTGAAGGGTTGTGTTTCTTATTCTGAATTAGGTAGGAAACCAATAAAGTGTTTTGAGCCAAGAGGTAGCATGATCCGACTAAGATTTTAACAAGATCACTCTGGCTGTATTGGTGGAAATGGACAATAGGAGGCAAGGGAAGATGAAAGGAAGCTATCATAGAAATTCAGGTCACAATACTGATTTATTTTTTCAACTTATCAGTGTTGTATCTCTGTAGGTTATTTTCTGAACTTGGTTTTCATCAAAATGTATTTCTCTTTAAGGAAAAAAGGAAAGGAAAACAAAAACTTTTCGTTTTTATTTAAGCTGTCTGTTTCCCAAATCTCAGATTAAACTCTGCCCTTTATTTTATTTTGGGATTTATTAATGTAGATACTTACCTTAAAATGATTTGCAAGATTAAAGTTTCTATGTTATATCTTATTTTTTTATTTGCTTCTTATCATATTAGTGGGAAAACAGTCTTCTTGGAAAAGAAATTATTAGAGGATATAGATATGATCTAGATAGATTAAGAGAATACCTTTAAAATTCAGAAACACTAACATTTGGCTTTAATTACATGTTTTGGTAACTTTGTTACCAAAAAAGCTTAATAAAGAAGATATACTGTACTGATTAATTTTGCACTAAAAATGTTACAATAGAAATCACATTTTAGAGAAACTTATCTCATGTCACTAAGTGGAACTTAACATATACCAGTTGAGTCATTAATTGAACTGTTGTAAGAAGCATATATTGGATGGAGATATTGAAAATCAAAGGGAGATCAGTAGAGGGAAAGGATCAGAGAATGGAAGGAAAAGAGGGACAGGGGAAGTGCAAAGGAGTGATATTGGCCAAATTATATTGTTATCTTGTGTGCATGTATAATATGTAACAATAAATTCCATCATTATGTACAATTATAATGTACCAATTAAAAATGTGGAAATAGAAAAAAAAAGATATACTGCAGAAAGATAATTATTGTTGATGCCAGTGGTAAATTCATGAAAATTTAGTCTTCTTTTAATACTTTCCACATAATTTTTAAAAGAAAAAAATACACAATTAAATATACTGTTGAAATCAAAACAATCATTAAGTAGTCACCCAATAATATGTACTGACCAGTTAGGGAAAATGTCACTATATCTAAGAAAAATAAAAGCCAACAATTGATGATGATTATTCTGTACAATTTTAGAAACACAATAGAAAATATCTGTTGAATTTATCATACTTAGGTTAGAGATCTTAAGGGTAGTAGATTTAGAAGAATTAAAATGGCCTAATAGATCATTGGGTTTTGTTTATGATTATGTAAATGTTTGAATTACATATAACCATAAAAGGTGTGACTGTCAAAACCAAGCTGTTAATTAGATACCTGCACTCTGGGAATACATAAGAAGCAGAGTGTCTGGGTCACAGCCTGTGACCCTAGCAATAGGACTGCTCTGCTAAATGGTTCAGCCATGGGACCACCCAATTACTTTTTTTTTTTTTTAATATTATGTGAACTTCTTTCCTTCCTTTCTTCCTTCCTTCCTTCCTTCCTTCCTTCCTTCCTTCCTTCTTCCTTCCCTTCCTTCATTCCTTCTTCCTTCCTTCCTTTTTCCTTCCTTCCTTCCTCCCCCCCTCTTTCTTGTTAAAACCTCTACCTAATTTTATAATCAAAAGGTATGAGGCTCCTTTTCAATACTTGAGAATGTTATGACTAACAGTTGGAATTTTATTTCAAAGAGCAATGTAAAGAGCATTTATAGTGAACAAAGAAATGTGTTTGTGTGTGCATGTAGACATACCCATGTTATTTGCCTTTCAGATAACATTAGTTGGTATTCTTTAAAGATATTTCAGTTAATTAGTAAGATTGATTATGCTACTTTTAGTATCCTTTGTTCTACTTACATGTTATTTTAAAATGTTAGAAGATTAAAATAGAATTATAATCTTAATCTAATAGACATAAAATTGGAGAATATATAGTCTTTTTCAAATACAAGAGCTAGGGATGTAATTCAGTGGCAGAGCACCTCTGGGTTCAAAACACACAAATCTACGTATTTAAAATTTTTTAAAAAACTTTTAAATATGCACCCAAAATTATAACAAACTATAAAATATTTAAAACTGAATGACAACTACTCAGTATGTGTTAAAACTTTGGCAAGTACAGCAAGACTGTTACTTGAAAGAAATTAAATGTATACAGCAAAATGAAGATAGAAAATTAGCCATTCAACTCAACAATTACTCTGCTTTTTTCCTCACTTTATATTAGAAGAAAGAAAATTAGAAAGAATAGAGCCAATATTTAATTCAAAAGAAAGCAAAGAATGGCAGAGGATTGACTTTTTAATTTGGTTTCCAAAGGCTGAATTTTGTTGTTGTTTAATAATAATAAAAATTTATGAAATAGAGCAGGCACAAATTAAGGATATCAGGAATTAAAGACATAACTGCAAACAGGAAACAATCAGAAGAAAATACTAGGAGATGCTTTTGGAAGTACCTTTCTAGACACAGATGAACTACCAATTTACCAATATTAAATCATAAATAAACAGAATCCCCAAGTAGACTTATAAAAAAAAATTTTCAAAAATTCACAAAGATGGCAGTTTTCTCCCATAGCAATTAATGATATCAGTCTATATATATATATATATATATATATATATATATATATTTTTTTTTTTTTTTTTTTCATTAGAATCCCAACAGGGTTTTCACTAAATTTGACAGGGTAGTTCCAGGTATATTCTGTATACAGAATAGTAAATGAACAAAAATAACCTAGAAAGGATTTATAAGTTTAAGTAATGAGGAAAATAATATAAGCAACTGACAATACCATAAAATGAGTTAAAAATAAGCCATTGTATGGAGAAATATTTTCATGTAATGAGACTTTAATGACAAATGCTTTAGCATCTAAAATAATAAATGATGTATTCAATTCAACAAGAAAAAGATAACCTAGTAGGAAAAAGGTGGGTCGACAACATGAGTGGACAGTTCACAAGAGAGCAAATGTAAATTAAATGGCCACTAAACAAACGAACATTGGCTTTGTCTCACTAGTAATTAGTATGTCAAAATAAGAAATAAGGGCTGGGGTTGTGGCTCAATGGCAGAGCAGTTGCCTAGCATGTGTGAGGCACTGGGTTCTGGTTCTCAACACTACATATAAGTAAATTAATTTTAAAAAGGTCCATCAACAACTAAAAAAATATTTTTAAAAAATAAGACATAATACAGTGTTGTAATTATCTGATTGCTGAAAGTTTAGATGTCTGATGATACCAGATGTTTTCAAGCATATGGGAAAGGACACCTCTCTTACTGGGTGGATATGCTTTATAGGGGTGTATGTGGTATAACTACTTGGAAGAACATTAATAATTTCTAGTGAAATTGAAGGTGCTTATAACTCACTGTTTAGAAGTTGCCTTTCTGGGTAGGTATATCTCTCATAGAGACATTATTACATGTGCTTATGTAATCAGATGTGGAAAAATTGCGAACAATAAGAGACCAGGTAAATAAACTGTAGAAAATTCATAGTGTTATGTTTTTCATTATGTTTAAGAACCAGGAAATCCTTGACTATAGGTGAAGAGTGAAGTAGCTGATGTTTTACATGAACCTATTCTTAGTATTGTTATTTTCAAATTTAAATATCATTCACTTTCAATATGAAAAAGATGTTTTTAAAAAATTACCTCCAATCCAAATCTCACACACACATACCACCCTCCAAA